CTTTACTGGGCTGCCATCATGAGTCTGGGCAGGTGTGGCCCATGTCCTGGAGCCAATCTTCTCTGAGCTCCCATGCAGGTTCTGTAGCTTGGGGGATCTGCCCCCAGTCACGTCTTGGTGGGGAAGTTACTTCCATTCCCCTGGCTCAGAAATGATCACAGCTATTTAACATATCTAAGCGACCAGCCAAAGGCTATAGGTATGTTAAATGACCACGCCAGAGGGTAGCTGCAAGGCTGTTGCTATGCAAAACAGATCTCAATGGCCCTGCTCCATTTGTCCCTTCCCCCAACCCACACCCTGGGTCGGGGGGGGATGGAGACATCTTAAAATCTCCTGGACACCTTAAATTCTGGAGCCCATTTCAAATGCCCATTTGGGGTCCCCCCTCTTGGCTGCACCCTGTAACAGGTGGAGACAACCTGTATCTATCCCTTTTGTCAGAAAACCTCTTTTCCCTTGTCAAAGTGCTATCTGACAAGTCTTTACAGAAAAGATGACTCTGATGTTATTTCAACTAGCCCATACCACAGAGAAAGAAGGGAGCATCTCAACTGCTTTATTAGGCCCAAGTAACAGTAATCTGAGAACCTGACAAGAAAGCACAAGAAAGAAAACCAAAGACTAACTTCACTTATAATTGTTGATCCAAAGGCCTAGGTAAATACCAGCAAATAGATTCTAACAGTGCATTGGGAGAAAACACACCATGACCAAAGAAGTTTATTCTAAGTGTTCAGGGATGGTTCAATATTAGGAAGTTTATGAAAATAAATGATCACATGAAGATGCAGAGAAAGGTGTGATTGTAAAACAGGTTGGGCTGTTTTAAGAATTCAGCTTACTGCAACATCTGGCATAGAGTAAATCCTCAATAAATGTTAACCATTGTTAGTAATAAAGTGTAGCCATTGAGCTCACAAACTCTGGAGTAAGAATGCTCAGGTTCGACCATTTACTAGTTGTGTGACCTTGGGTAAGGTCATTTTGGTTCTGCTCCTCCCGGTTCTCTTGTTTTAAAAATATGAATAATGACAGTGCCTGCCTCAGAGGGTTCCTGTCAGGATTAACCAAGTTGAACACTGTAGAGAACCTAGAACAGGGCCTGTCCAGGAGAGGGAGGGTTGTAAAGAAATGGAGTGGGGTGGAAAAATCCTCAAGTTCCAGTGAGTTCAGAAGGGAAGTGAAGCAAGGAGGGTCCAGTCGTGTGTTGGTCTTGGTGTCATCTAAATGAGTTTTATAGATATGGTGAATGAAAAGGGAGCAAGAAAAGGCGAGTCTTAAATTTTCTCAGGTAGGCCTTTCAAAAATAATTTCCACTTGTGGCAGAGACATTGGGTATATATAGGGCCTGGGCAGAAAAAAACCTAGATTCTGCAGAAACTAAGGAAGCTAAAAGAAAAAAAATTAATAATTAACTTGGTTCTATATTAGCATAGTGTCAATAATAGGGTAAATTGGCATGGGAAGGAATGTGAAAGTTACAAGGCAAAGTAGGTCATGAGAAAAGAGAGTTAAATAGAGAGATCAGAGACTGTTTATTGATTTAAACCTCTATCTAGCTAATTGAATAAAATGGGAGTTTTCTCTGTGTTTGCAGGAGCGTGGTCATTACCACAGCCATTCAGGTTGACTCCCACTGGGTTTGTTGCCAAGGGCCACAATTGAGGTGATAGGGACTGGTCAGCAAACATTCTCAGCTCCAGTGACTTCGGGTTGACACCTTTTCCTGGTGGGCTGGCAGTGAGCACGTGGTGCTGGGGACCCTCCACCTGGATCCTCATCACAGGCCTGACTTCTAAGGATCACACAAGTCCCAAGAAAATAGGGAAGAGAATAATATTTAATGAAATCTGAAGATTTGATCAAAATATTAAGTGAAAACACAGAATATGAAACTGTCTATGAATCTAATTCAGTTAGACATATGTACAAATGACTGGGATGACATACATTAAAATGTAAATAGTAATCATCTCCATGTGGGAAGCAGATTACATACTCTGTTGCTTTACATTTTATATGTTTTGTATTTCCCATGATGAAAATGTTTTATTTTTGCAATTAGAAAACAGGAAATAAATACAATTACCTTAAAACAAAAAGAGGGCCCTCTTTCATTTTCATAGCCCTATATATTGCTCAGCAGCATATGGTTTGCTGCTTGGTATATAATTGATAAGCACATTTGCTAACCTCTAGGTGAAGCTCAAAGCTTCTCAACCTTATTTCAGCTCCAGAAAAAATGCTCATGTGGGTCAAAGACCAATGGAATTTTCAGAAATCCTGCACGAGCCACAGTGGTGGGAGCTTCGGTGGGATAGTGGAGACATTCAAAGCTCCCTCTTTCCATGACATTCTTCTTCTGGGTCACTTCCTGTCACTTCTCTTGCTTGCTTCTTACTCAGCTGCTGTAAAAATATGGGGTTTGTGTCTGTTTGCTTGGGCTGCCATAACAAAGCACCACAGACTGGGTGGCTTAAACAGCATACATTTTTCTCATGGTTCTGGAGGCTAGAAGTCCGAGATCAAGGTGTCAACAGGATTAATTTCTTCTGAGGCCTTTCTCCTTCACTTGCAGATGGCCACCTTCTTCCTCTGTCCTTCACATGGTCTTCCTGCTGTGTGTGTCTGTGTCCTTATCTGCTCTTCCTTTAAGGACACCATTCATATTGGATTTGGGCCTACCATGATGACTACATTTCATCTTAATTACCTTTTTAAAAGTCCCATATTTAAATACAGTCACATTTTGAGATACTGGGTATGAACTACAACATATTAATTTGGTGGGGGAAACAAAGTTCAATCCATTACAAAGCTGAAGTTTTTTAAGGGATCACACCTCTGCTCATAGAAAGTCAAGAGAGGAACAATGTACTACTTAAGAGAAAGGAAGTCTTGCCACCCTGCTAACCCCACCTGCCCCACAAAGAAGGGAGAGAGAGAGAAAGGAAAGGAAAGAAGGAAAAGAAAGAAAAGGAAGGAAGAAAGGAAGAAAGAAAAGAAGGAAGAGGTGGGGAGAGGACAATGGGAGGGGAAGGGAGGGGAGGGGAGGGGAAGAGAAAAGCAGGGATGTTTAAACTTCCTGGTTTAGTAAAGCCCCCTAGGTTAAGAAATCAGAGGGGAATCTCTCTGCATTTGTTTTATTAGGGCAGTAATCTGCCCAAATCTGCATTTGCTCAGTGTCTATTTTGAACACATAACCCTCTTAAATCTATGGCTGCGTTGATGCTGCTTGAGGATTCCAAATCTTGGTTATCTCCTCCTTGAGAGCATAACAATACATCAGTCTGTTCAAATCATTCTCTAATTATTGGGTGTTTCTGCAAAAAGCAAAGTTGAGAGCAGGGATAATGTTTGAATCTTATTCAATAAATGATAGGGGGTGGGGCAGTAAAAGGGTGGTCTACTCTGGTTATATTACCCTGGATAGGTTGGTCAATGTTGGTTGCCATTTCTGCTAAAAATAAGAAACAGCATTCTGAGCAATTCATGTGGAGCTTTAAGACAATGAAATGGAAGAGGATATCACTCTCCTCTGCCCAAGGGATACACATCTGTAGAATGCACTCTGACCTCTTCCTAATCAGAGATGAGCTCTGGAAGTTTTGCAGTATAGAGCTGATTTCCTATAGCTATGTAAGAGACAGAAGCCCGGGTCTGTGGGTTTTGTCCTTATCCAGCCAGTGGAGGTGCTATTTTTCTAGGTAACTGAGCCAAATTTAGCTTGAACTGCTACTTAGCTTTCAATGAGCTGTGTGACCACCATGCTCACAGCATATTTCTACAGATACTCATAAATAACTGGGTTTTGTTCTAGAAAATTCTGGTCATCTTAACTGTAATTAAACAAACTGAAATCTTCAATCTTCTCAGTTTAAATAAAAATTTATATTTTTGAACATGGGGATAATTAAGAAAAAATCTTAATATCTTCTTATAGATAGATATTTTAGGATTTTATGCTTTTTTTTTCTTATTCTCCTGCATTTCCTCCTCCTGTGTCACCCATCCCCCACTCATCTTGTTCCAATAGACTGGCTGGCATCATCTTTCTTTATCTTTCCTTCTGAAAGACCCTCTCATGATATTTCACTGTTGTATATGATGGTTGGGTTACTGAATTCAGCAGTCAAATTTTCCTTTGAGGAGTAGTTCCAAATGACTGCTTTAATTTTGGGAGGATATATAGCTGAGTATTTACTTTTTCTATCTATAAAAACTTTTCTTAAAATTTACCTATTTGCTTTACAGTATTTAAAACAATAGCACCAATATTACCACTACATAAAAAACTAAGTGAAGATTAAGATTTCTTTGTAGTTCTTTTCATCTTTATAACCTATCATTTGAAATAATTTTGTCCTCTGTATGGTTAGGTTAAAAGTTTGATTATATATGTTTGTTTTAAATTGAGCACTTAATTTCTTTCTCTTTTTAGTTAACTTTATTTTAAAGTTATAGAGACTATTGACATCAGTAAAAAATTAAAATTATATACAGATGTATTCAGACAAGTCTTACCTCCATCTTTATTCCTTCTTCCTGATTCCTCCTGCTTTTCCTTCACAGAAAGTAATGTACCACATATATTGTTCCACAATTTGCTTTTTTTTTTTCATTTAACATGTCCTGCAGGTCACTCCATACTGTTATGTGGAGACCTTTCTCATTCTGTTTCCATGATTACATAGTACTCTGTTGTGTGGATGTGTCATAGTTGGTTCATCCATTTCCTTATTGGTATACACATAGGTTGTTTGGAGATATGTTTAAATTTTTTATAATTTTGGGTGGAAATGAAAAATGTGTTTCTTATTCTTCTACCTTTACATACAGAGTGGTCTGATCTGTCTTGGTTTGTTAGTTGCTGGTAATTTGCTTTGAACTTGAAAACAAGGTTACCAGATTTACCTATAAGAAAGCAGTGATAGAACTGAGAAGTCCCCAGAGTGCTTTCCTAGGAGGTAACTCTCTTATGCAAAAACTAATATTCAATCGCTTCTCAGCCTTTTGGCTAAGATCAAGTGTAGTATCTGTTCTTAGTTTAATATCTGATATGTCCTCTATCTGAGGACATTATATTAAATGGATTTTTGGAGCTGGGAGATGGAGTAGGAGCTTGCTTTGTCCACTCCACGAATCGACCCAGTATTGCAGTACTTCCCGGAATGCTGTACCTCCTTGGGGGACAAAAAAAAAAAAAAGAAAGAAACATATTCATAAGGTCTTCCTTTTTTTGTTTGTTGCTTATTTTGTTATTTTGTTTGATTTATATTGGTTCCTTCATGAAATTAAAATTATACTTTTATACTTTTTAGTGACCTTGAAATCATCAAAGGAAGATAAAATTTTTTCTAAATATTAATCAATTTGGCAATTAAGTCATGTATACTTCCATACTGAGATAACAAAATCTTTCCTGCTCTGGAGACAGGTTAGATTTGGTGGAGGATGAAGATAGTAACAAGTAGAAATGCTAGGACTCTAGGGAGTGGGTCAGCATATACATATAGCGTGCAAATATGCACACGTGTACTGTTGAAAATATACCTGAAATACTATAATTTTTCTGCTTTTCTCACTCAATGTTCTATCATAAATAACTATTGTCCAATGTTATTAAGAACTTCATTTGGAATCATTTTTAAATGGCTGAAAATAATGTATTGCATAAAGCAGAATATTAAAAATTTACTTTTATTAATGGGCCTTTTTCTATTCAGGTGGAACCCACATAGAAATCTCATATATAGTTCAGACGAGGTTCTGACAGTTTCATTAGGCCATTTTGGCCACCCTATTTTAATTTCTTGTAGCTCTACTTATTTTCTAATTGTTTCTTTTGTTTCTATTTTATCGGTTCAATATCTTTTCATTTCTCTGAGGTTCTTAATTTAGTTTTACAATAGTCTTTTGTTTCCTGCATTGTCTGTTTCCCCCCCAGCTACATTTTCCTGTTTGATTGTTTTGATATGTATATTTCAGGAGGGAGGCTTTCCTCAGATTCTAGGGTCTGTTGTTGTGCATTGATATTTAAGAGTAAAGCACTGATATGCTGACTGGAGCCTCCATGCAGGTGGCTGAGGCCTGTCACCTGGTGGACTTGACAATGGGATGATCAGAGGCTGAGCTGGATCATTGTTATGGGATCCTGAAATGCCTGTCTATAGATGACTCTTGAGACCAGTTCTTCCAGAGAAAAGTCCTGCAGTTTTGTGCTCGGAAGACGTAAGCTTGGGTGCTGGCACTCTTGGAAATGGGAGAGGGAGCTGAGAGTCCTGTGGCTCAGTGTGCAGACATGTTCCCATTTTTAATGTGAGGCATCATCATCACAACCCTCTGCTGTGCCCACATCTTCAAGACCCAAATCTCTGTTTCAGTGCTCCGGAGAATAAATCTGTTATATCTTTGGGGGACAGTTAAAAGTTGTTGCCTGACTGCTCAAAGAGAAGGGGAGTCCTAGACTCTAATTATTCCTCATAAAGATTTTTCAACCAGTCTTTCGTTGCTTACTTCTCTGCTGTAGCTGAGGCTGCTGATTTCTGAGCCTATCAGGGGTTCAGTGGGGAGTGGATCAGCATTTTCTCATTGGTTTCTCCTCCACAGGCGCTTGAGTTTCAGCTTCCTTCAGTTCTGCCAAGTCGATTTTGACTTCTCCATCTGTTTTCCACTTCCTGATTTTATTGAATTTTCATGTCCACTATTGTCCCTTCTCTGCCCTGTCCTTTGTCTTTAGCCCTTTACTGTCATTTCAGTGGAGTTTTAGAAGCAAGCAGAAGTAATGCATGTATCCGGTCTTATTTAATTGAAATTCTCTTCAAGCAGTTTGTCTTCACTATTTGGGAAAATGTATTTTGTTTATGAAATATATGAAATCCCACAAAACCCCATGGATCCTGGTATAATGTTGTATCATAAGTACCTAACCATTCCCCTGTGCTGGGCATGTGAGTGGTTTCCTTATGGTAATGATCATCCATGGTTATGGCTATTTTTAAATTTAAATTGTTCAAATTTGAATTTCTTCACATGTATTTTTCTCCCATATGTATGTATAAAATCTACATTTCTTCTTTTTTATTATATTATTATTGTTGTTACTCTAATACAGTTGTCTCAGTTTTTCCCCCTTTGCCCTCCTCTGCCCAGCCCACCCCCACTATATTTTTTCCTTTGTGAATAATCTATTTTATACCATATTTATATTATGTATCATTATAATATTTATGTATGTTAATTTGTTATACTTATTGCAATATTTTAACTTATTATTTGCCTTTTGTGTTTTCTTTTGTGTGTACACATTTTTAATTTTTACAAAAATACACCAGAACTTTTTCTTCATTTCTTCCATCTCTTTTAAACTTTAAAATATATTCTGTTGTAGGTATTTAGTAAATATTTCTGAATTTGGAGATAAAGATGTGAGAATCATTAGCATAGAGGTCAAAGCTGCAGTGCCAAGACTACAGCAGCTTCTTATGGGGGAGATGTGACACGAGGAGATTTAGGGGAGGGAGACGGAGAACCGAGGTCTGGGAAATGTTCCCAGTGAGGGCGAGGAGAAAGGGAACTTGGTGGAGTACTAGGCAGAGAGGCGCCTGAGAGAGCTGTGTGTGGTTTAAATCCTCTGAGGAGTGTAAAGCCTGATGACAGGGCAAGATGATCTGGCCCCAGTGTTACTCTTTCTTGCCATGCTGAAATGCCAAGGTCATTCCTGCAGACACTGCTGGGCACATCTGAAGACAAGCCTGTTGAGATGGAGGGGGAAGTGTTCAGTTTCCCGTGTGATGAAGAGCATGGCACCAGGGCCTTTTGCGTGCTTCACCAGGCCCCTCTCAGCACTGACAATCACCGTCTTCTTAAGGGAAGCTAGTGCTGCACATGAAAAATGCCACAGAAACCCAGTTCTTAAGTAGCTGAGTTATAAGACTCTTGTTTCTGAAGTAGAAAGCTTGGTACCCCAGAACAGTGGTGTGTACCTTCCATTAGGAGGTTTGAATAAGAGCTACAGAACTCAACACAGTTGGTGGTGAACTACAATTTTCCAAATGGACATGTTGACTTTGCTTCTTTCAATTCTTGGGCCAATTCTTGCTATTTTTTTCCATCTTCATCATCACCACTCTGAGAACTCTAAACCACTGTTTTGCAGTGGTGACTCCAAGACAAAGCCCATTGTGTTTTTTGAAGGGGATTGCTTAGAGCTGAAAAGTAATGCTGGAGTTACGAGATTCTGAGTTAAGCAGGACTTCTCAGAAGGGCAGGGACCACAGGGTGCAGAGATTCTGAATCTACCCCTGTTGAAGATAGTAATTGCCCCATCATTTTATCAAATGGACTTAGTTACATCTCAAATATTTCAGTGTAAACTATATTCATATAAAAGACTAGACCTTATTTAGCATCCTTAGTCTTTTGGTCTAACTTAAAATAGCACTACTGCCTAGTTCTGTTAAATTTGCACAGATTTTATAGAAATTCACACAAATACATTCTAAATGGGATAACCTCTCATCTTTCAGAGTCAAAATGCAGCATATTTCCACTAAATTACCCCTGTGACAATTCTTTGGGCTTTCTAAAGATTGCTTTATAGTAAGTACTTGAGCACATGGGTTTTCGTGGCCTTAAAAATCAGTGTCAGCTAAAGTGACCCAAGCCTAAATCTTGGCTCTTGGTTTTTCCAGTCTCATGAGAACTAATGTGATGAAGGAGCAGTGATTTTAATAAACAAACGTTTACTGAGTACCAACTGTGTGCAAGACCTAGTGATGCCGTTCTTGTGCTGTTTGTTTGAGTAGAACACTATGTGTGCACTGATGCAGGGAACAGAGGCGGGCAGGATAGGGGAAAGCTTGGAAAGTTTTCAAGATTAATTAGCACAAAGGTGGGGCATTTGGGATATCTGGCACCAGATAGTCATCAACAGTACTAATTATACTCTCATATTAAATCAGTTATGGTGGGTGAATTGGAGTCGATCAGCCAGTATTGTTAAGGATGCTGCAGCTGTTGTGAGCCTCCCTTTAAGATATGTTTTCATGCCCTGTTGGGTGTGGCTCAGTGGATTGAGTGCTGAACTGAGAAGCAAAGGGTCACTGGTTTGGTTCCCAGGCAGGGCACATGGCTGGATTGTGGGCCAGATCCCCAGTATGGGGTGAGTGAGAGGCACCCACACATTGCTGTTTCTCTTCCTCTTTCTCCCTCCCTTCCCCTCTCTCTAAAAATAAATAAATAAAATCTTTTTAAAAAGATATGTTTTCATGATTCTGTAGCTCATGTTTTAGAGAATTGCATTTTATTTTACTTGTTTTTTTTTAGAAAACATGATCCCCATTTTTTAAGTTATAATAAAAATTTAAATATAAGAGTAAGATGTGCAAAGAGAAAAATCACCTAGAATGATGCTTCTCAGTCAAGTTACTATGTAGTCAACACTTTTCATTTTCTTGGTAAATATATGAGGGGGCTCACAGTACTACGAAGGACATGTGATGGATCCTGAGGCTTAAGTTCTGAATTGCATCACTTCATCGTTACATGGGAGAAGACTCTATGATGTGTTCTGTTGATTAGTATTACTGTGCGGAAATTAGGTGGCATTTGAGGCTGAGTAGGGCTGCCTGGTGGAATAAAAAACAGGTGTTTTGTTCTTTGAGCACATGTATGCTCTAGTGACATCTTTCTGGCAGGTTCAGGTGAGTGGCGTGTAAAGCCTTGTGTGACTTTTCTTTAATTTAATTGCTGTAGTATTTTTTACACATTCATCAGACTGTCATTTGGCCTTAGCCTTTAGGGCACTAAGAAGATATTTGTGTCAGTTTTTAGGAAATTTAATTTATTTCAACTAAATGTGTTGAATGCACATGATAAGCATTCAATGCATTTAGTATTTAGTATTCTCAAATAGAACATAAAAATGAAAAAAGTGTATCTCTCCTTTCTTAGCAAAATCTGATTAAGCATGTTTTTAGTAAGTGGCCACATATACGAACATGTGATACATTAAATGGAGACTATTCTGTCCTCTGTATTTTAAGTAAATTGGTAGGTAGACCTAGAGTCCATCAACACTGGAGGACAGATCAGATGGAAGCTGAGTTCGCACTGGCGAGAGTAGGTAGTACTGCCATAGGTAGTGCTGAGTGTATGTGTGCATTGGTGTAGGGTACCTGGCTG